GATTATCCTCCAGGCGTTGTTCTATGTGCTGGAAGCATAGTAGAGAAAGGCAATAAAATCCTTGCTCCCAAGGAGCTACTAGTAATATCTAACTGGGGAGTAAGGTGTGTGTGTGGCGGGGGGGGGGGGGGGGGGACAGACAATACATTTGTAAGTAAATCAATAGATAAGATTTTTCAGCTAGTAACCAGGGAAATACAATATGCAGGAGTGTGTAATAGAGTATTTCACACTAGAAGAGAACTCTTTCATAGAATTTGGTCAGGGAAAGCAACTCTAAGGAGGTTACATTTTAGCTGAAATCCGAGGGACTATGGGAAGGAAATAACTGTGAAAAAGCTAGAGGAAGAGCCATCCAGGTTGAGAGAACATCAATTGCAGAGGCAGTGAGGTTCATTCTGCTTAGGCACTGTTGATGAAGTCTTTGCCTAAGCTCTTTTTAGAGGTAATATATTTTTTTCTGCAAAGAAAGCAGGTCAATAAGATAAGTGGATACACATGATGAAATCATATGCTATACTTGGAAGTAAAAGATTGGATATCCACACAGCAAATATACAGATGAAGAAAATAAGAAAGAGGATGAAATCTATATAGTAAAGCACCATTTTGATAAAATGAAAGTAGGTGCACAGGACATTAGAAGTCAGGTTTTCACTGTCCCCAAAATAAGTTACAAATAAGCAAGAAGGTAAGAATGAACCCTGTGGTGCTGTACCACACTTGGAGTCAAAGGCTGAATAGTCTGTCATGTTATGAATCATTCATAATTTATGTATCTATGCAGCCCCTTTTCCTAGAGTTATTGGGTGCTTATTATGTGCCAAGGTTATTTGTAGTGTTTGCCTGCCAATGGGCAAGGGTTTCCCTATGATATACACTCAGGAGTCATAATGTGAGCCAAAATGTGTGCATCTTGAACACTTATTAGCTAATCCCATTTTCCAAAGTATCAGCAGCAATCATATGCCTTCCATCAGTGGATAAAAGTTGCACCACCTGTCCTGTCCTATTCTCTATATAACCAATTAAAACTTTTGCCAGTCTGAGAGATGTGAATTGGCATGTCATTGTGCATTTAATCTACATTTATTTATCCAGTTACTGATGAAGCCAAGCATCTTGTATTTTTTTAAACATATATTTTCATTGCTTTCAGAGAGGAAGGGAGAGGGAGAGAGACATAGATACATCAATGATGAGAGAGAATCATTGATTAGCTGCCTCCTGCACACTCCCCGACTGGGGATGGAGCCCAGAACCCGGACATGCACCGTGAGTGGGAATCAAACCGTGACCTCCTAGTAGTTCATAGGCCAATGCTCAACCACTGAACCACAGCGGTCCCGCATGCCGATTATCTTTTCGATGTCTATTGGCAATTTGGTTTCCTTCTCTAAGAACTGCTTCTTTCAAATCTTCTGGCCACTTTTTTTTTTTCTGTCCACTTTTCTATTGGACTGTTTGGTAGAAATAAAAATGATTTTTAGATTGATTTTATATCTAGCATGCTTGCTAAACTTTCTTAATAATTTGAATGATTAATATGTGAATCTCTCAGAGGGGGGTGGGTAGGAAGAGATTAGCCAAAGAATTTGTAAGCATACATGCATAACTCATGGACACAGACAATAGTGTAGTGAAGGCCTGGGGCAGAGGGCGGGGGTCAGGGCAAATAAGGAGGACATATGTAATACTTTCAACAATAAAGATTTAATAAAAAATAAACATTAAAAATATCTGAAATTGAACATCAAACTAAGACCCGAAGCATGGAGGCATGGAACAGACTGACATACCTCTATGTGGGGTTGGGGAGATGAGGAAAGATAAACCGAATAACTTATATGCATAGCCCATGGACATGGGCAACAGGGTAATAAAAATCTGGAGAGGATAGAAGCTGGGAGGAAGGAGTTGGAAGGGGAGAAATGAGAAATATCTGTAATACTATCAACAATAAAATATGTTTTAAAAAATATCTGATTCTTTGTGCTTTCTAAGTAGAAAATCCTATAATCTGTAAAGAATGACAGTTTTCTACGTTTTTCCCCCTAACCTTATATTGATTTTTTTTTGCATTACATATTTTTTTTGCTTACAAAGTCTTACCCAGGATAGTTCTTATTCCAAATATCTATCTCACTAACTCTCTAACTTCCTTCAAGTCCTTGTTCAATTATTAATTTTCTAATGAAGCTTATTCTGACTACTACTCTATTCTAACATACAACTTGCCACCCTTCCCCAGCACTCCAGAACTTCTTTTCCTGGTATATTTTTCCAAATTTTCAACATACCATATGTTTTACTTATTTATTGCTTTAGCATCTACCATTTCCTCAAGCCACAAGAATGTTATTTCTACATGGACCAAAGTTATTGTCTTTCTGTTCATTGATTTATTCCAAGTGCTCAGGAGAATATATTAGTCAGCACTCAACAGATATTAATTAAATGAATGAATAAATAGAAATGTATTTGGCAGAGTAACTGGCTAGCATAATGATGTAAGCACTCAAACATGGTAGTAATGCCCGGCCGGAATGGCTCAGTGGTTGAACATCGAACTATGAACAGGAGGTCATGGTTCAATTACTGGTCAGGGCATATGCTCAGGTTGCAGACTCAATCCTCAGTTTGGGCGTGCAGGAGACAGCTGATCTATGATTCTGTCTCATCTTCTCCCTTCTTCTCTGAAATCAATTTTATATATATATATATTACACACACACACTGAGTTGCCAGATTATTATGACCACCTGACGTCTGTAGGCAAATTAGCTATAATTTTGCGCTGAAGTTGCTAGAGGGCCAGACCATTATAAATAGGGAAGCAGGTTGTTTACCATGACAATAGAAGTGATTTTTTTGAATGATAAAAAAAGAAAAGAAAGATACTAATTCAAAAAGACATATGTACTTTTATGTTCATTGCAGCATTATTTACAACAGCCAACATATGGAAGTAGACTAGGTGTCCATCAACAGATGAATGGATACAGAAAATGTACATGCGCGTGCGCACACACACACACACACACACACACACACAGGAATATTATGCACCAATAAAAAAGAATGAAATCTTGCCATTTGCAACAACACAGACAGACCTGGAGGGCACTATGCTAAGTGAAATAAGCCTGGCAGGCAAAGACAAATACCTTATGGTTCCACTTACATGTGGAATCTAAAGAACTAAAACAAGCAAAGAAAATAAAACAAAAATAGCCTCATAGAAAAACAGACCAAAAGAATGGTAACTAGAAGCGAGGAGGTATGGGGAAAGGAGGAAAGAGGTAGGGGAATATAGTCTATAATATTTTGATTAGTGTACACAGTGACAGATGATTACTAGAATTAGTGTGGTGATGACATTGTAAGGTATAAATATATTGTACTATATTGTACACCTGAAACTAATAAAACCAATATAAGATTGTATACAGTTATATTTAGAAAAAAATAAAATTAAACAAATTTAGAACAGGATATGTTGAAATAGCAGAGGTACTTTTAGAAAGAGGACCAACTAATCTCCAGGCGATTTAATTTATTCATTGAGACAAAATCAGCATACTATAAATATCACTCTCTAAAATGTAAAATTTTGTGATTTTAGTATATTCATAAAGCTCTGCAACCATGTAACATCACTACCTATTCCAGAAGAAAACAGACACCCATCAGCAATCATCACTATCATCCCCAACACCACGAGCCCTGGCAACCACAAATCTCAGTTTTGGCTCTATGGGTTTGCTTATTTCGTACATTTCCTACACATGGAGTCCTACGATGTACAGTACTTTGTGACTGACTTCTTTCACTTAGCACACTGTTTTCATAATACATGTGTTAGAAGGCATCACTACTTCATTCTCTTACGTGGCTAAATACTCCCCCATTGCACAGATATGCCACTTTGTTTATCCAATAATCAATGGATGGACATTTGTGTTGTTTCCTCTGGTGTGTGTGTGTGTGTGTGTGTGTGTGTGTGTGTGTGTGTGTGTTAATCCTCGCCATTGGTTTTCTTTTTAGAGAGAGAGTTGGGGGAAGGGGGTGGGGAGAGACAGAAAGAGAGAAACATGGATATGAGAGAGACACATTGATTGGCTGCCTGCCACTGGCAACCAGGAATCCTGCCTGCAGTGGAGGTATGTGCCCTTGACCTGGATCAAACCAAGAACCTTCATTCCTCGGGTTGACGCTCTAACCTCTGAGCCAAACCAACTAGGGCTCTGTTTAGCTCTTATTAATAAAGTTGACATGCATATTTGTGGACACTTGCTTGCGTGGACATACTTTGAGCTGTCTTGGATATATATGTACTAGGGAGTGAAATTGCTGATTCACGTGGTCCCTACATTTTTAGAGGCATTTAAACATCTAATAATTTAATAATTCTACCTGGTTCATTATTTCTTTCAAGTCTGAGGGCTCTCGTGTTTCATAAACTCCAAAAGGGTCAAAACGCAAATTTTAGAGCAACAACGGGCGAGTCAAATCGCAGGAACACTTATTAAAATGCTCTTAATGCGAGTGTCAGGAGCTCAGGGTTTGGGGGTGCAGGTGAGAAATCTGAGTTTGTTCGTTTGTTTTTAAATATTTTTATTGATTTCAGAGAGGAAGGGAGAGGGAGAGAGAGACAGAAACATCAGTGATGAGAGAGAACCACTGATTGGCTGCCTCCTGCACGCCCCCTACTGGGTGGGGGTCGAGCCTGCAACTGAGGCCTGTGCCCTTGACCGGAATCGAACCCGGGACCCTTCGGTACTCGGGCCGACGCTCTATGGACGGAGCGAAACCGGCCAGGACCGAAGCCTGCGTTCTGAACCAGCTCTCCAGGAGTCTCCTGCCACCGAGGGCACAGCCGGGGCCTCCGGACACCCAAGCGTTCCCACCCCCACCCGCTCCTGTCGCCTCGCGCGCAGCCCGCCACTCACAGCTCTAAGACCCTGTTGGCCCCGCCCCCAGAGCCACTCGGAGGAAAACGCCGGTCTGCCCGCGGGTGGCACGCAGTCGGCCTGGCGGAGCCTAGGCTGATGGACGCCTAGGGCCCGGGACCGCAGCACCAGGACCAGCCCGCGAGCCCGCGGTCAGGAAGTGAGTCCCTAGGGACGGCGGTGGGGGGAGGGGGGCTCCGGTGGGTGCGCGGAGCGGACTCCGGGACGCTCCTTCCGACGGCTCGCCCGCCGGGGCACCGTCCTGGCCCCGGGCCTGGGAGCGGGCGCGGCGCGGGCGGCTGCTCCTCACCGTGCGTGGGAATGTAAGTGGGGGCGCGTCCCGTCCCAACACGGGCGCGGGGATGGAAGGCGCGGAGGCGCCCGGTGCCGGTGCGGTCCCTCCACCGAAGGCCAGGAACGGCGGGGCCGGGCAGCGAGCAAATGGGCTTTGGTCCCTTTCACAGTCGGGGGCGTGTGGCGACAGTGGGGGCCACCCCACCCCCAACCGGGAGCAGGACGTGAAGGAGGGTGGCGGCCAGGCCGAATTACCGTCCTTTCGCGGGCTAGGGGTGTGGAAAGGGGGGAGGGGCGGGCACATGTCCCGGACCCCAAACGGGGGCTGGAAATGAAGGGGGGGTGGTCCGGGGCACTGTTTAGCAGGGGTGGGCAAACTTTTTGACTTGAGGGCCACAATGGGTTCTTAAACTGGACCGGAGGGCCGGAACAAAAGCATGGATGGAGTGTTTGTGTGAACTAATATAAATTCAAAGTAAACATCATTACATAAAAGGGTACGGTCTTTTTTTTCAATAGTTTTATTCGTTTCAAACGGGCCGAATACGGCCCGCAGGCCGGAGTTTGCCCACGGCTGGTTTAGAGCTACAACAATATACACTGAGTGGCCAGATTATTATGACCACCTGACGTTTGTAGGCAAATTAGCTATAATTTTGCACTGAAGTTGCTAGAGGGCCAGATCATTATAAACGTCTGAATAGCACAACATACCTAAGTATCGTTGCTGATCAAGTTCATCCTATCATGTTGATGGCGTATCCCAATGGAGATGGCTTCTTCCAACAAGACAGTGCGCCATGCCATGGTGCTCGTATTGTGCAGGGGTGTTTTTAAGAACAGGAGGGAGACTTTACCTTGCTTAGGTGGCCCCCACAATCACCAGATCTCAATCCAATTGAGCATTTGTGGGACAAAGTTAAAAGAGCCATCAGGCAGCTGGTTCTACAACCATCTAATCTCACAGAACTGGACAGTGCTATTCATCAGGCATGGTGTCAGATTCCTCGCATCACCTTTCAACATCTCGTGGAGTCAATGCCAAGAAGAATTGCCACAGTATTGAAGGCAAAAGGTGGCCCAACGAAGTACTGATGGGGTGGTCATAATAATCTGGATATATATATATATATATATATATATATATATATATATATATATAGGCTGTTAAATCGCGTTGTGTACCCATATCTTCAGAAAAAAATCACTTCTACTGTCATGGTAAACAACCTGTTTCCTTATTTATAATGGTCAGGCCCTCCAGCAACTTCAGCGTGAAATTATAGCTAATTTGCCTACAAACGTCAGGTGGTCATAATAATCTGGCCACCCCGTGTGTATGTGTGTGTGTGTGTGTGTGTGTGTGTGTGTGTATGGCTTGGAATAGCACCTGGTACTTAGCGTGCTGAACATGATAGCTGTCTTTTGTTATTAATGCAGACCAGATCCTGATGGCCTACTTTGGGTAGTGTGTTTTTGTCATGAGAAAGACCCTGGGAATGCCAATGCATATGAGGTTCCTGATGATGTTGGCTCAACTATACATACCTGAAGTGGAGAAAAATGAGAGATTGATAAGTTGCTGCCTTTGCAGGGCATGGCTCTTGCTAAGATGCCCATAACTGCAGGTGACTGAGGGTTACTAAAGGCTATGTGAACTTTCGGGTTTCCTCACTAGTATAATAAGTATTACTCTGGCAATGTACCTAGGACAGTGGTCAGCAAACTGCGTCTCGCGAGCCACATGTGGCTCTTTGGCCCCTTGAGTGTGGCCACGAAGTTTCAATCGCACTGTACGTGCGCGCCTGCACTTGGTATTTTGTGGAAGAGTCACACTCAAGGGGCCGCAGTTTGCCAACCACTGAGCAATGATACGGTATTTTATTTTTTTTTAAGATATTTTTTACTAGAGGCCCAGCGTGCACGAAATCATGCACGAGTAACTCGCTTCTGCTTGCCTCAGCTGGCCACCCCCACCATTGCCACTCCTAGCTCACAGTCTGCCCCACCCGCTGCAAGAACCGCTGCTTGTTTGGTTGTGACGGCATTACAGTGTGACGGCCACAAGCCTTTTATGTAAGAGACTAAGGGCCCAGTGCATGAATTTGTGCACCTTGAAAGGAACTGTGGGCCATGAGGCTACAGTGGGCACAGAGGTGGGTCTCAGCCCATCCTCTGCACCCCCGCCTGGCCCCTCCCACCATGGCCTCCTGGTCCCCTGTCGGCAAGCAGCCCCATTCCTGCCATGTGCTGACAGCACCACCCCTGCTCATACCTGCTGCCGGCACTGGCCCCAGTTGTTCTGCGACATCAGCCGGTGCAAGTGGGGGGCCGGTGCTGTCAGTGGGTGTGAGTGATGGCTGTTGCCCCAATTGCCGCTCAGGAGCAGGGGGAGGTGGAGAAGCCCTCAGGGGCAATCGGGGCCGGCAGCCGCCACTCGCACCTGCTGATGGTGCCGAGCGACTGGGCCAGGTGCCGGGCACTGGCAGCAGGTGTGAGCAGTGGCTCTGGCATCAGCTGCAGATGCGAGTGGGGCCGGTGCCAGCAGTGGGTGTGAGCGGCAGCTCTGGCGCCGGCAGCAGGTTCAAGCTGGGTCGTCGCTGGCAGCAGATGCAAGCGGCAGCTCCAGTGCCGGCAGCAGATGCGAGTGCCAGGCAGGACTGCAGCAAGTGAGAGCAAAGAACTTTCAGTAACCACCAGGGGCTCACCCCCATGACAGGGACCAGTGCCTCGCTTTGGTTTGGCACCCCTGCTCACCTGTCCACCATCCCACTGCAGCCAACTCCCACCATGTTCCGTGTTCTGCTGCCTGCTGCCTACGCCCGCCATGCTCCGTTCGCAGTCCCTGGTGATCAGTGCACATCATAGCGACCGGTTGTTCTGCCATTCGGTCTATTTGCATATTAGGGTCATATATATATATATATATATATATATATATATATATATATATATATATAATTGATTTCAGAGAGGAAGGGAGATGGAGGTAGAAATATCAATGATGAGATAGAATCATTGATCAGCTGCCTCCCCCACGCCCCACACTGGGCATTGAGCCTGCAACCCAGGCATGTGCCCTGACCAGGAATCAAATTGTGACCACCTGGTTCATAGGTCAACACTCAACCACTGAGCCACACCAGCCAGGTGATGTGCTATTTTAATAAATTTCAACGTAAATATCCACTGACTCTAGTGCCTACCATATTGGATAGCAGTTCTAGAGGTTTTATGGATGGGTTTGGACATTTTATAAACTTTTTGGAAATTGGATTCAGAATTGGAAATGTGTGTAATTTTCTAGCAAGTGAATCCATGGCTTTCATCAGATTTTGTTGTTGTTGCTTTATATTGTAAGATGTCTCACAATATGTCAAAACTTTTCCTACATATAAATAAGTATGTTTCTGGGAATGTGAGTGATTTTTAAACAATATGTCTAACATTTTCATCCAAATAAATCTTTTTTTTTTGCCAAGATCACTTTTATTTAAATCGTTGCATTTACATTTTTAACATACGTTCATTTTCCTTTTTATAGTTTATATTCAGCATAGTTTTGTATTACTTTCAATTGCAGAGCATAGTAATTAGACAATCATATATTTTAGAAAGTGTCCCTTCCTCAAATTTCTAGTACCCATTTAGCACCATACATAGTTATTGCAATATTATTGACTATATTTCTTATGCTGTGGTTCAATCCTCTGTGATTATTTTGTAACTACCACCTGTACTTCTCAATCCCTTCACATTTTTCACCCAGCCCCACAAACTGACTCCTGTCTGGAAAACATGAGTCTGACCTCTGTTTCTATGAGTTTGTAGTTTGTTTGTTTATATTGTTCTTTTGATGTCACATATAAGTAAAATCATATGGTATTTGTCTTTCTCTTACTGACTTATTTCACTTAGCATGATACCCTCTAGGTTCATCCATGCAAATGGTAACATTTCCTTCTTTTTATGGCTGAATGATATTCCATTATATATATAGGTACCACCACTTTTTTAAAAGAATAGTTCACTGATTTTTTTTTTTTTAGAGAGAGGAAGGGAGTAGATAGGAACATGGATGGCAGCACACAACATTGATAGACTGCCTCCTGCACCCCTCCCCCTACCTGGGATCAAGCCCACAACCCTGGCATGTGCCCTGATGTGGAATTGAACAAGCAACCTTTTGGTATTCAGGATGACACCCTACCAACTGAGCCACACCAGCCAGGGTGAACCACCAATTTTTGTATCCATTCTTCTATTGATGTGCACATGGGTGCCTTCTATATCTTGACAATTATAAATAATGCTGCAATGAACATAGGGGTGCATATAGTCTTTCAAATGAGTGTTTTGGATTTCTTCGGATACATACCCGTATGTGGAACTGCTGTCTCATAAGGCAATTCCATTTTTAACTTTTTGAGCAATTCCCATACTGTTTTTTTAATTGTTTTATTGCTTAAAGTATTACAAAGAGTATTATATATGTCTCCTTTTTTTTCCCCTTGACCTTCCCCTAGCCTCCCATACCTCCCAGTGTCTTGTGTCCATTGGTTATGCTTATATGCATGCATACAAGTCCTTCGGTTGATCTCCTACCCACCCCCCCAACCCTCCCTGGCCTTCCTGCTGTAGTTTGACAGTCTGTTCAATGTTGCTCTTCCATAATGTGTGCACCGATCTGCATTTGCACCAACAGTGCACAAGGCTTCCCTTTTCTCCATATCCTAACCAACGTGTATTGTTTGTTGATTTATTGATAATAGCCATTCTGACAGGTGTGAGGTAATGTCTCATTGAGGTTTTAATTTGCTTTTCTCTGGTGATTAGTGACATTGAGCACTTTTTCATATGTCTGTT